CTGCATGAAACGGTCACACTGTTCATGGGCGACATGGAACAAGGTGGTGTACTCCATGGTGGTCGAATGGTTCTTCTTGAACTCCTCGGTGCAAAGCTTGTAGAAGGCATCCTGCAGCAGCTGCTTGGAAGGGACGGATGGAAATATATTATTGCAACATACTTGCCGTAGGTTTATCATAAACACAGGAAAGGGAAGAGGTGTGGGACAGTTACAAACTTTCCATGGTCAATGGCAAGAGCCACGGGCACGGGTCCTGGTAGCGAGACTGAGACTTAAGCTGGGGAGCAACAAACTGCATGTAGACATCACGCATGGCGAAGAACCGGTTGGCTCCCAACGGGTCAGTTGGGACATAGCGGCCAGCCCAAGTCTTGAGATTCTTGGCGCCCGGAGCGGCACCTGCGGCCCCACCTTCACCCGGATCCTCATTCGTGTCACCCGTTGCCTCTGTCTCCTTTGCCTTTGTGTCACCCACCTGCTTAGCACTCGTCTTGGCACGCTTGTTGGTGCCTGCGTTCTGCTTGGGACGCTTCCTGGATGGCGGATCCTTGGGATCGGCCACTTCAGGCTCAGTAGCTGCAGCTGTCACGCGACAAGGTTCAGGGCCAAGAGAACTTGCTGCCGCTGCCATTCCACCATCAGGGTCGGCTTCACCAGGACGGTCGCCATGCGCCGGGTGAACTTCACCAGAAAGATCACCGTGACAAGGACCATGTGCATGGCCAAGGGAAGCATCCTGCGAGGCATCAGCAGCATCAGCCTCACAGCACGCCTCATGAGGAGTGTCTGCGTCTGCAGGCGCAGGTGGAGCAAGCTTCTTCTTGGCCCTGGACTTTCTGGCCGCTGCTTTGGGTCGGTTTGCCTCTGTCTTGGCTTTCGCCTTGGCTTTCGCCTTGGCTTTCGCCTTTGCCTTGGCTCGGGGGGCCTTCTTCCCATAGGAAGGCAAATCAGACTCAGCAGGGGCTCCCGCTTCCAGGGGCCTCTCGCCATCATCATCCGCAGGCTGCGATGGTTCATGTGGAGGTGACTCGGTTCCAAGCTGCTGGCGACGGGTAATCAAGGGCACCTGCTGGAAGTGGAATTTGACGCCCCCGCCTTTTTACAAGTTAAAAAACATGTGATGCAAAATGGGAAGAACCCCTGCACCTGAGCATCTTCCAACTTCTGCACGTCATAGGTCACCACTTCGCCATTGCTCTTAGAAAACTCGGGCTGAGTCTGCGGAGGGATGCCCATGTTTGGAGGATCAGCTTGCAAGGGGCAGGAGTGCCCAGAAGGAGCTGCACGGACTCCTGGGGGAGCTTGCTTCGGCTGCTCAGGACATCCACCTGGAAGCGATGTGCCAGAAGGATCCTGCCCAGGCTGCCCATCCCATCCACCATGTTGAGGGGAAGCGGCTTGCCAGAAGGAGCTTGCTCCGGCGGCTGAGCACATCCACCATGTTGACGGGGAATCTCAGGCTGAGCGCATCCACCATGTTGAAGGTCAAGCGACTTGCCAGAGGGAGCTTGATGTTGAGGAAGCGGCTTGCCCGCACGAGCTCCCTCCCTCTGCCCATCACATCCACCATGCTGAGGGGCACATCCACCATGTTGGGGTGGCTTGCCCACAGGAGCTTGCTCCGGCTGCTCAGGAAGCGACTTGCCAGAAGGAGCCTGCCCAGGCTGCCCATCACTTCCACCATGTTGAGGGGGAAGCGGACATCCACCATGTTGACGGGGAATCTCAGGTTGAGCACATCCACCATGATGTTGGGGAGGAAGCGGCTGGCCAGAAGGAGCTTGCTCCGGCTGCTGATCACATCCACCATGCTGAGGGGGAAGCGACTTGCCCGAGGAAGCTGGCTGCACCTGCCCATCACATCCGCCATGGTGATGGGAAAGGGCACACTCCTTCTCTGCCAAAGAAGCTGCTGATGCCAAAACTTGAGATGCACCCTTCGGATCACCCTCCTCTTGGTCGTCAACTAGGTTGATGAAGTCAGGAAGGGGATCAGGAGCATCAAGCACATCAAAGGGCAATGTCTGCATATTGTCCCCACAAGGACCGTCACCAATGCCTCAGTCAAAGGGAAGGTGAGCTGCCAAAAAATCTTTGGAACTCACTCAACAGTTGTTTGGTTTTTGGCAATGCCTAAAAAGATTAAAATGTGGTTAGGCTAGTTGCAAGCCGAGCTCTTTGCACGAGCCAAAGATGCCAAAGCACGATTGCTCATCTCATGCCTAAGGGTTTGGTTGCTGGGTTGCAGGGCGGCGAGTCATTGACTTCTCGTATCCAGCTCGTATTTATAAAGTATTTTCAGCTGAATTCCCAAGATCCCAGGTTTTAACCACTAAAAAGCTATAAAGCCGGAAAGCCCCTTTGTTTATAACCCTTGCCTCATACTTGCCAGCTTCGCCAGAATCAGCTCCCGCTTCTTCATGATGTCCTCCTTGCGAGGCGTTGCGAGGTCCACCTTCGAAGGCTGGCCCGCAGCAGCGGGCATGGAAGGCACTGACGCAGCCCCTTGGTCCGACATGGATTTCCGCTCCAAAGAGCGGGCGCGTTTCACTACAGCAGCTCCCTTGATAGCTTTGGACTTGGCACGGGTAGGGATATCATCCTCAGAATCTACCTCTGTGTCACTGGGGTGCAACTTCCCATCCTTTATGGCTAGTTGTGGTTCTGGTTCGCTGGTGACCTTCCTTGTGGGAGGTGGTGTCCAATAATGATCCATAATTTTCCACAGATCCGCAAGCCTTCCATCCTGACCCATGGAAAATTTAAATGGGAAAGGTTGAAATAAAAATTAAAGATACGACAATTTCAAAATAACACGCGATGTTTGGAAACCAGCTCCTTTGGGCGTTCTGATTCCTTCCATCGGTTCAAGGCGTGTGAGAACATCCTTTTGCAGTTCCAGGCTTCTCTTTTCACAAAGGTCTCGCTCGGAGGGAAATCCATTTTCTCTTGAAAGATCTGAACCTAGCACAACTAATTAATCAGGGGACCTTAATCATGTTTAATTACAACAGGACAACAGGACAACATCTTTTAAAATTTGGGTGGCCTCAACTTTTTTGTGGGGCAGTATTATCCCAGTTAAAAAATGTTTACAACAACTTTGTTGTAACCCAACCTGCTTTTTCATGATTTCGATGGGAGGCGACTTGGCTTCGGATTTTTGAGGGCACCACCATCCTCCAAGAATCTCCAGTTGATGCACATTCATAACAACATTGGCATTGCACTGAACTCCTTTCAACCTCGGTTCAGCCCATCGGATTAATTTCTTGTGTTTTCTGGCTCGCTCTCGAACATACTCATCCTTTTCCCACAGGACGCCCAAAGACTTTGTGGGGGGCTGTTCGCCCGCCATAGGTATAGAGGCAGAACTAACTTGAACACTCAATGGCTTCTAAAACACCCATGCGCCAATTGTTGATGGATTCAACTCCTCATGGGGCTCACCTCACCCCAACCCGATCCGGCCTGCAAGCTGCTGAAATATCCAGCAGCGTTGCCATGCAAGGTACCTTTCGAAGCTGGGATGAGGCAACTGTCCAACCTGCTGGACAGACATTTGCTGCAAAAAAGAAATGTGGAGGGGGGCGCACGGGCCAGGGTGAGCAAAGGCTCTCAAGTGGCAGGAAATTGAGCCACCAAGGACAGCAAAACCAAGAAAAAACAAAAAACGTCGATTGCAAGAATTTTCTCCGTTTGGGATCAAAAAGATACTTCTTGCCCAAACAAGAAAAAAAAGACAAGGTTTGGAACACGTAGGTATGACATATGTGGATGTTTCCTATGATTTTGGGGGGGACCCAAAGTCATCCGACATTAGAGTATTGAAACCCGTGGTAGAATGGGGATCCCCCATTCTGGGAAAAACGAGATATCCAATTAACATGATATAAAGTGACCCTCCCCGGAATGAGGGTCACTTTGATTAAATCACAATCATATGTATATATATATACACACATAGAGTAACCTCCAAAAAGATAGACGCCATTTTGGCGGGGTTTTACCAACTATCTTTACTTGGGGGTTGCTTTACCATCTATCCGGAAATTTCACCGGCAACGAAAAGTAAGCAACATAGGACTGGATATAGTGAGAAAAAAATATGTGCAAACTGGTAGTTGCGCAGTTTGCGAACTGGAAAATCACAATTTTGAAAAGGGTAAATCATCTAACTAAATGGGAAATTTTCGATAGCTAGGTTGAATTAGCAGAAAATAAAACATTAAAATTAAAAGTCGATGCAACAAAAATGAGAGTTCAGCATTGACAACTAGGAAGTTAAGAAGCCAACATGACAGTTTGATAACGCAAAACAGGACTCTAAACAACCAAAACAGATGTTTAAACATCAAAACTAGGGCCTGGGTGTAGCCATGGAAACATATGGATTTTGAGCAATGCATATGTAGACCGGAGCGCCATTGCGTACCCAGAAGATATATGTCAAGCAGCAAACGTGGGGATTTAAGTTTAATGATGAACATCATTGTTTGAATGTATCTGAAAACCATGGGTGTGCCAGGCAGTTTGAATTTGGAAACTACTGTTTTTAATCAGTGGCGGGTCCTAATTCTGGGGATTTTTTCATCAAAAACCCTGCGGTATGAACATATACATATATACATATATATATATACATATATATATATATTATATATTATACACATGACTTGAGCTATAAAAAGGTCTTGAGAGGATTGCAACGACCAACACAACAGCCAGCATCATGCGATGGTCCCGAAACGGCTTTGTGCGCAAGCGAAAATATGGTTGGCCTCGGCAATTTTCTTGGTGATGTCCTTTCTGGACACATATTCCCAAAAAAAACCCTTCAGTATGTATATTGATATACTATATATCTATATCATTCTATATCAATATCGATACATCTTTGGTGGAGTCTTTGTTTCTACAGAGTTTCCTATATTTTGATATATTTTGGTGGTTAATCTCTCTTTGTCGACAAAATCCCTGGATTCTGCTGGCCCCAGGATGTCAGCATGATCGAGTTGCGGCCCAAGTGAGAACTGGCGAATGATCATTGAAAGATCCCAAAATATCCCAAGATGATTTTAGTTGTTTTTTCAACTCCTGCAATGTTGGCAGAAAACTGATATAATCAGATCCTCGGATTTTCGTCTCCAATCTTTGTGAATTGATTGGGGGGGCATAGCCGGGGCGGTCTCGCTCTCGAAGATTCGACCACTTAACGAAGTTCCATGGGTCGCTAAGTTCCCCAGCCGGGTCGTCCCCACACTCCGAAAAGAAAGGGCGAGGAGGGTATCTCCCTCGCGATCATCGAGCTCTAGCTTATGCAGCTTATGCATGCTTGATAGTTTCTGATCAGCTTATGTTTTTGCATTGTTTTTTGCCCAGTCAAACATTAATATTGAGGATATTCCAGAAATCTGCCCCGTGACAGATCATGTTTTTGTGACTGGCAACTGGGCTCCAGACAATGGGCCGTTTTGGTAAACCCTCCAATGGGATTTCATCACAATATCAATAGATAATGATGATATCAATGGATAATGGTATTATGACCGAAATGTTGTGGTATCTGATGATCGTATTACAACTAGTTTCTATTATCAACGGATCTAATACCAATACATATAGTCATACCAATACTTGGTAGTATAATGGTGATAAACCACTATTGGCATTATTATTTGATATCCCATTATAATGCATACCAATAAATAGACTAGTAGATATAACATATAAAGACATCTATAAATTAGATATCATCAATATAGATACCTACTGATATCTAACTATCATCAGATAATAACCATCATATATTGACAGATAGAATATCTTATAAACCAATTGATAGATATCAATATATTTTCGTATCCATTGCCACTATGACTCAAACGTGGTAAAACATCAATTGGTGCAGCCATGGAAGCGAAGAGCGAGAATGACGGAGCCCCAAGATACGTTGAGGCCGGTTTCCATCGGTTTCCCATGTTTGTTAATGGAGATTTACCCTCTGGTGATTCAGCAGTGAAGAATCAAAATTCTGATAGTAGGCCAATCATCTACTTTTGTGGGCCGTGTATTCTCCACAATTTTGAGTGCCCTGAAAAAAAGGACCATTTCTGAGTGACTTACTGGTGCGTTTTACGAATGGAATTTTCAGGAATGATCCACTGGCTAACTATCAATAATCATCCCAGCAACCCTCAGCAACCCATCCATTCCCATCCAGCAACCCTACGTTTAGCACCAGTAAGTTTTTGAGAAAGTTATCTTCCAACTCCCAGTCGTTGGCAGGGTCTACTAGATCTGAGGGTCACGCGGTTTCGAATCATATGGAGATTCCATTCCACATTTCGCTTTTTTCGACTGCTGACTGGGATGCTGTTCATAGCAATTCTTAAGTCTTAAGCAACATCAAAATTCTCATTAAAGAGCTTGCTAGATCTGGTCAAAAACATTTCCTCTCCATAGAATTATGCAGCATTGTATAATTGTTCACGCACCTATTTCAGCACAGGACAGCGCTGAAGCAAGCGGGGTTGATTTCCCAAGCATTGCTGGCGACGGATCATGGCACCCCCAACTTGTGCGAGTACACCGTGGGGATCTCGTTCTGTGGAAGAAACAGCTTCTGGCAAGAGGCTCTACTCTTCTTTGAATCTATGCCCAAGGTACGAATGAGTCCCAATGTCATTAGCTACAGTGCTGCTATCAGTGCATGTGAGCAGGGAGGTCAATGGCAGGGGGCACTGGTCTTGTTTGAGAAAATGCCCATTTCAAGGATTAGTCTGGATGTCATTAGCTACAACACAGCCATCACTGCATGTGAGAAGGGAGGTCAATGGCAGAAGGCACTAATCTTTCTCGATACAATGTCCAAGTCAAGGATTAGGCTGAATGTCATTAGCTACAATTCGACTATCAGTGCATGTGAGAAGGGGGGTCAATGGGAGCATGCACTGGCCTTGTTTGATGCCATACCAAAGGCAAACATTAGTCTGGATGTCATCAGCTACAATGCAGCCATCAGTGCATGCGAGAAGGGGGGTCAATGGCAGCACGCGCTGAGACTCTTTGAGGCAATGCCCGAGGCCAGGATTAGTCGGAGCGTAATCAGCTACAATGCGACCATGAGTGCGTTTGAAAAAGGTGGTCAGTGGCAGCAGGCGCTTCTGTTATGTGAAGCTATGCACAAGGCAGACATTAGTCTGGATGTCATCAGCTGCAATGCGGCCATCAGTGCATGTGAAAAGGTGGGTCAATGGGAGCAGGCGTTGATATTGTTTAAGGCGATGCCCACGGAAAGGATTAGTCCAAATGTCATTAGCTACAACGCGGCCATCAGTGCGTGTGAAAAGGGGGGTCAATGGCAGCAGGCGTTGATCTTGTGTGAAACTATGCACAAGGCAAATATTAGCCTTGATGTCGTCAGCTACAGTGCCGCCATCAGTGCATGTGAGAAGGGGGGTCAATGGGAGCATGCGCTGATCTTGTTTGAAGCAATGCCGCGGGCAAGTGTTGGTTCAAATGTAATTAGCTATAACGCAGCCATCAGTGCATGTGAGAAGGGGGGTCAATGGAAGCATGCACTGGCCTTGTTTGATGCCATACCAAAGGCAAATATTAGTCTGGATGTCATCAGCTACAATGCAGCCATCAGTGCATGTGCGAAGAGCAGTCAATGGCAGGAGGCACTGATTTTGTTTGAGGCGATGCCCAAGGCAACGATCAGTTCGGATGTCATTAGCTACAATGCAGCCATCAGTGCTTGCGAAAGGGGTGTTGACGGCAGCAAGCGCTGATGTTGCGTGACACATCTGAAATGACGCTCAACGTTGAGTTCGGAACCATGTCAGGGACAAAATATGGATAGTTTTATTTATGATGTTACCCTCTGGTAATTTAACATAGCTATTGAATATGACATCAAATGACCATAGAAATAGTGGATTTACCCATTGAAAATGGTGGATCTTTCCATAATTATGTAAACGTTTACCGGGCCGGGTATCCATAAACGCTTATGACAGTCTGACATCCCTGAAATCTGATGAATCCTTGGGCCATGTGATTTCTGCCATCTTACTCTGATAATTTAACATCATTTAATTAAGTTCGCGGCCTGGAAACAAATGGAACCCAGGTTTTTCTTGAATAGGTAAATCAGTAAATTTCAGTAAATCATCAAAACTCAATGCTTTTTCCATGGGTCGTTTTCCATAAATCTTCTGTAGGATGTGAAGATTCTGAATCTGTAGGACAATTACCAGGGAAATACCAGTGAAATACTAGTGAAGTTCAAATACTGGTTGGTGGTTTGGAACATTTTTTATTTTCCATGTCATCTATGGGATAATCATCCCAATTGACTTTCATATTTTTCAGAGGGGTGGCTCAACCACCAACCAGAATATCTTTGGGAAAATCACCAGTGAATTCCCAAAATTTGATCGAACCACTTGGGAAACGCACCTTGGTGAGTCACCGTATACGACATGGAAAAGAGATCATGGCAGTGAAATGAAGTATGAAATAGAGATACCATTTATGGGATATATCAATGGGATATATCAATGGGATATAATGGGATACTATATATATATATATATCCATTCGTATTTATGGGAAATGTGATGGGATATATCAACATCACAAGGTAGAACAAGATCTTCCGTTTTTTTTTAAGGAAGAACATAGTCGTCATTCCAAGCGTTCCGTGCTGGAAGACCGTCACCCAGGTCGAATTTTCTGCAGGCATTTCAGTATTCAATAACCACATGGCCAGTGCGGACATGTTGGCACATCCATTTATATCATATCAAGTGGGTGATACATCCCATTATATCCCCATTGTATTCCAGAAAAGTATTAGTTATATCCCATTCAGCATTTCAGATTGCGCACTTCCGATTGCCATTTATGAGTGCTGCCTGAGGAAAAAGCTACAGAACTATACTCTATGGATCTTGGATCTATAACTAAACGATTGATATAACTATGACATGATATAACTCATCAGATACTGAAACATGTTGTTGATCTTCAATTCATTTCAATTTCATAAAGTATCATATATATATATATATACAGTATATATATACAGTATATATATATATATTCATATCTTACCTACAAGACTGCGATTTTTCACCATCACCCGGCGCCATCCGCACAGAAAAGGATGTCCAAGATCCGCCGACGAAGTGATCCGCAAATTTTTTTGGTCCTCAAAAAAGAGACGCACCATTTATGGTTTAACCAATGTGTTTGATCATCATTTCATCTAAGATTGGGGAATAGCCCATATTATGCACCTTTTTTCGAATTTCATCCACTTTTGTTGGGGATTTTGTGGTTGGGTGTTGAAAAATACTCTAAAGTAGGTTCAAATTTATGGATCATTTGGGGGTATTCCGAATTCCCCAATCTTAGAACACCTCCATATTCCCATGATCCCCATGATTTACCCTAGAAATAGTGATTTTTTCCATGAATAGCATGGTGGATCTTTCCATAGTTATGGAGCAGTTGACCAGGCCGGGTACCTATAAATCCATTATTTCTAGATGATTATCCCAAAAAAAATCCCATTTTAACATTAACCATATGAATGAACCATTATTAACAGTATATTCACCACTATTATTGGTGAAACCGGGAAAAAAAACCCATCTACTCGGACGATCGATCTGCCGCCATGTCGTCCCGGTCGCCCCGTACCTGGCGCGTGGTGGGTGGCGGCGACAAGGGCGGCATCGTGGTGCGCTGCGGAGAGGACGTGCAGTCGGAGCTCCAAAAGGAGCGGCTGGGCTTTGGAGCAGTGGTGGTTGAGGTGGGAGCTACGGGAGATCTGAGGTGGTGAGCTATGGGAGATCCATGGTGTTTAATGGTGTTTAATGGTGATGGATTTATTATTAAAATGTTTTTTTTTTTAATGGGATAATCATCTAGAAATAATGGGATTATATATACCCTCTGGTAAATTGTTACATAACGAACTGGAAAGATCCACGATGCTATTAATGGGTAAATCAACTATTTCTATGGCAATTTTCAATAGCAAACTGTTAATTTACCAAAGGGTAATGGTGTTGATGGATTTACTTACTGGTGCGGTGCTAAACGCAGGGAATTTTCAGGGAAGGATCCCAGTCATCACTGGTAATTAATCATCATCCCAGCAACCCCCATTCCCATCCATTCCCTACGTTTAGCACCAGTAAGTTTTAATGGTTGATGTGTTTTTAATGGTGTTTAATGGGATTTTATTGGGATTTCAATTGCAATTTGTCCTATTTTATTTACACCCTTTATTTCAAAATAGTAATACTGGGATAAAAGAAATATTCCCATCCCTCTAAAACTAAACAGACCTCAAAGGGCCCAAAGATTCCTCAGAAAATATGGGCCGGGTTGCCGAACAACGACAGTGAACCACTTAATATGTTTTTTTGACTCGGGAGATGATTTCTGTACTTGGGACGCGCCAAAAGTGAACCACTTCATATGAATTTCTTTACTTGGGACGTGCTAAAGTGAAGCACTTCATATGAATTTCCTTAATTACTTGGAACCTCTTCATATATGAATTTCTTTTCTAGGGACGCGCCAAATAGTGAACCACTTCATATGAATTCCTTCACATGGGCACCCGGCAGTGAATGAGCTCATGGTTTACGGGGCGCCACTTTGGAGGTTTGTCATGTCCAAAGGGTTTTGTCACATGTGTTAGTAGAGCTGTTTATCTGCAGCATTCGGTCGACAATTGACCTTGTACCTGGTTGGTGGTTTGGAACATTTTTTATTTTTCCATATATTGGGAATGTCATCATCCCAAATGACGAAGTCATATTTTTCAGAGGGGTAGGGCTCAACCACCAACCAGGTACGGTTTAGTGCCAAAAACCACGATGTTTTGGGTATCTTTTGTGAGCTGGAGGACAGCTGTGGACACGTCTTCAAGTGAAGGTTTACGTCAGCGGTTTACGTCGCCAATTCAGAGGGATTGGCTTTGGCAACGTTGTAGGCAACACCCTTTTGGCCGAAAAAAATCAAAGGCAGACTTCTAGCCCAAAGGTTTAAGAAGCTAAGGCGGCAATGACCGGTTTAAAAGCATTGAGGTTTAGGTTGATTTAACAAAAAATATTTGCCAAACATGTGATTGAAAGTGTGTCAAAATTTCCAATCAAATTCAAGCTGTAAATGTGTGTTGTGATCTGGCCATGTCCACCTTGGGGGAGGCGCTACAGTATGGGTAAAAAAACGCATGGTGAAAACATCATGCCTCCAATGCAAACGTTTCCATGAATGGTTCACCGAGTCCATTCCTTCAGTGTTTCAAGGGTTTCAAGGGTAATTTTCTTTTCATTTCCATCCCCCCCAAAAAATAAGGGGCAATTTTTGTTTCAATCCCATGTATCCCATTCTAGTATCCTATTGTATATACCTCAGATATCCGATTAGATCATACATAACCCCACATGATCCAACTTGACCCAATGTCAGGTTGAGTTGAAGCAAGGCGAATCCAGCGGTCGCTTGCGATTTCAGAAACTCTGTGGATCTGGGCCCGACAGCGGCTGGGTGAGCTTGAAATTAACCAATGGAAAGGACCGGCAGCGACCAGAACGGTGGGTTGGTTGGGCTGCTGTTATCTTGGTGTTTCAATGGAGATTGAACCATGAAAAATCATCGAACATGGGGATTTCGGATTTATAGAGTCAATGAAAAAAGGAACTTTGATTGAGAAGGTGGTTTACCCTAAACATCCTAAACTTTCAAGGTTTCGAGAATAATTTGAGCAGTGGCTACTGTGGACCCTTGTTGGTTGATGATGTTTTTTAGCGGGTCGTAAAATGTTTGAAATATACCCTCTGGCAAATTAACAGTTCGACCCTGGCAGTCATCGGGGTTGGAAGATTAGTGAAACCATTAAAACTAGGCTATTTTCAGGGTATCACCCATTTTTAATGGAAACTAATCTTCCAACCCCGATGACTGCCAGGGTCGAACCGTTAATTTACCAGAGGGTATTGGAGAGTCTCATCATCCATGAGCTGGAAATCATCCTCACCTTTGAGGGATGGTGATGAAACAACGAGGGGTGAATGAAGTGCTGCGAGCTTTTGTGGCACCATCCAAGTACAATCTAAGAGGTTTCCCTACAAAATGCTCCATCATTCTGGAATTTCCAATACCACAGATGTGATTTTTCGGAATCAGATATCATCAGATATCCACAGTTTTGATCAGAAATTCAGCATTTTCGGCGGATAACATTTGGCGATGCCTCCGGAGAACGTCCAGGACTTGCTTCAGCTCCAGCCATGGCCCGTTCTTCGCGTCGTGGGCGGCGCCGAGAGCGGCCTTGTGGTGCGCGAAGGGACGGCGCTGACGTCGCAGGTGCTGGGGCGCCTGGCGTATGGCGCGCTGGTGGAAGAACGGGAACGGGTGAAGGAACGCATCAGTGGCCCGGGAGAGTTTGAGTTGTTGCCGTTGAATTTTCTGTGTTTTTGGATGTTCTCTGCCGTTGAATGATATAGTTTTTGGATGTTTTTTTTTGTTTAAATGTTTGATATTGTTTGATGGTTGATGATTCATCAATGGTGTTTTTGAAGTGTGTTTTCTATCGTCGTTGCTTTTTTTTTGTGGGCGTATCTTGGCATCCAAGGATACGAACTCCTACAGGGGGATGGACCACAAGGTGCGGATAAAGGGCAGTGTGTGTTTTCCCCAGAGATCGGGGCCATGTGGGGAATCAAAACTTACCCGGCCTGGTAATGACTGTTATGTCCAGTTATAGTACACATCTATATTAACCAACATATATATGTAGTACCATAGATGACCCATAGATTCCATAGATACCCGGCCTGGTAATTTGTTACAGTTCGCTATTGAAAATGGTGATTTATAGTTGAATTTCCCATTAATAGCGTGGTGATTTCCCATAGTTACGTAAACGTTTACCAGAGGGTATTGGTTAAACCTGGTTACTGCAATGGCTACTATAAAGATTAATACATGCTTGAGACTTGCAGGTTATGTTTGTTGGTATGTTGGTTGTAGAACTATTTGCTGACCCGAGTGACAGAGTCTAGTCTAGGATCTATTCATCCCCCCCACTGTTGGGTGTATTGCATGTGATCGGATGGGATTAATCATCACAATCATCAACCAAATCCCCATATATCCGTTACCATATCCATTACAACATCCATTCCAAAACAATATCCAATACACAATTCCTTACAATATCAATCTAATCTCACTTTACCAAAATAAGTTCCAAATCTCAACAGTTCAAACAGTGGGCCCTTGCAAGGTGGTGGCCCCCCAGTTATAAGTTGGTTTATAATCCCATTAACTAGTTCGATATATCACCAACAAAAACCATATAGTTATTGGAGTTATGTTCACCAACTGAACGCTATCATAAATCAGTTATAAATCCCATTAAATCCACATTTTCCCATGGTTTCCTATAGATATATCACCAACAAAACCCATAGTTATTGGTGCCACCTTGTGGTTTCAACCCAACCAGGTGGTTGGGTGAGTCTCTTCCTCCAGCAGAAGCCCCTGCTGTCGCCCGCCGTTCCCGTCGCCGACGCCGTGGCGCGCTTCGTGGCGTCGCTGCGGGCGCTGAGCGACGCCCAAGTCGCGGAGGCCACGGCGGCGCTGGCGGAGTTTGGGGACGAGGAACGGCAGCGGGCGCTCGGTCACGCGGCAAAGGTGGCAGTTTTCTGGTGGGAAAAATGGAGATTTTTATGGCGAGTCAGTGGGGAATGGTGGGAAAAATGGAGATTTTTGGATGACACACATTGGTGATTGAATGGCTTAGGGTGATTTATTGGTAAATTCATTGCATTTTATGACTATTCAATAGTTAATAAGTTGCAGTTTATGATAAGTTAACAGTATTTAATGGGATATTCATGGGCATATAAGTGTTGTATATAACCAACTGTGGCAACAGTTGGGAAGGTTTTAAGCAGCAAAAACTATGGGATTATTTGTCGGTTTAGATTGGGGGATAACTGGGATTATTTGATCAGAGACTGGGAGATTAACCACCACCATTCCAAGTCTTTGGGATGAAAGGGATCAGGTTTCACAAGGGCTGAACAGGGGGAGTTGTTCCAAGGGGAAAGTCCCAAGATATGTGGAATCAAAAGAATCTTTGGAACCGCGGCCATTGATTTGAGGGATGTTCAGTTGAAACTGGAAGATTTTCAGAGGATTTCTTGAATGATATTTCAATATATTTCATGTCAAATGCGTTTTGGATATTTTTGGATGTGATGTGAGTTGACTCAGTAAGACTCCCCTTAAAACCGGGAGATCTCAGATTTCTCAGAAATCCGCAGCTGGGTTTCTGAATGATTTATCCTTGGTAACCAGTGCATCCCAGTTAATCCACTGGTTTAATGAATAGCAACCTCCACAAGTCAGATAGACCATGAAAACTAATAATGATATATGACTCTAATAGATATAATAGATAGTAGTTAATATGACCATAAAAAAATCGTGATATTAATGACTATTTTATATAGTGATACATGATATGACTATAACTTTATGATAGTAATATCTATTACATATCTATTGTGATATATGACTATAATAGATATTGTTTCTATGAGACAGGGGGCCCCAGAAAGATCTGAGGCGAGATTGACAAACTCCTGGATGAAGCGGACTGTCGGTTGAAGCGAAAGGCCTTGCGGTGCCTTTCCAGGCCTGCTCCCAATTTCCAGGGAAACCCGTGCCGTTCCACTGGTTTTTTGCGGCAAAACCAATGTCATAAACCACCCATTTGTTTTTTTGTTCAAAAAAATACCACATATAAAAATGGTGATTTGGGGGATGGTTAAAATAGTTGTTTTACCCACATTAGTTTATTTGTTTATTAGTATATTCCACTACATCCCCATTCTATCCCCAATAAAATATCTCACCTCAGATCCCATCGGAAAAAAGCATTTGAAAAATGGTTAAAATCACGAGAAATGATCCCGTAAGCATCGCTAGTCTCGTCTCCGCAGCTATAATAAACAACGGTATTAATGAGATGATATTAATTAGTATCATATGAAAAACCAGATTATACCATATTATTACTATCATGATTATTACTATCATTTTCATTGTTATGATGTTTATTGTTATGATTGTTCTTATCATTGGCACTGTTATTATTGTGGTTATTTTTCTGTGTATATATATTTCTATATACCCTCTGGTTATTTGACGTAGCGAACTGAGAATCACTGAATCACCATTTTTAATAGGTAAATCAATGTCAAATAACCAGAGGGTATATATTTCTATATATCTCATAACCTGGTTGGTGGTTATAATCCCATCATATAACCATTTGTAAGCACTATTATTGGTATTATAACCACTCTTATTATATAATCCTATTATTGATATATCTCATAAAATGGTCATTTATAGTTGATTTATAGTTGATTTTCCCATTAATAGCATGGTGATTTTCCAGTTCGTTATGTTAGTTTACCTATATAAAATCCCATTATTTCTAGATGATTATCCCATAAAAAAAAAAACCCATTCATAATAACCATATAATAAATCAACCATGGTTAACAGTATATTCACCATATATATATATATAAGCACTATTATTGGTATTATAACCACTCTTATTATATAATTCCATTATTGATATATCTCATCACATACCCAATATCTTCCGCAACGGACATCTCCGCCAGGTTGGCCTCAACGGGTCCAAAAACCGCCGCCTTTGTCGAAGCGCTGCGCAAGGCGCTGCTGGACGACGACGCCACGGTGCGCGCCGAGGCGGCCGCGGCCGCGGGCTCCGCTGGAGTGGAGGAGGAGCTGCTGGAGAGAGCGGAGACTTATAGGGATGGGATGAGGCGGTTTTGGTCGTGATGAATGGTGATTAATGGTGGTGAATGGTGATTAATGGTGGTGAATGGTGGTAAATAATGTTGAAATTTGATTGATGATAGCTGCTAGCTAGTGGTTAATGGTTGATGATGGCATGATGGCATAAGCAATAGGTCATAAGTCATAATTTACTGGTTTTTCATAAGTTTTCATAATGATGAATAAGGGTTAATGGCTGCGGATGAGGCTGTGAAAAGGTGGCTAAGAGTGGCTAATAAGCCTATTAGTGGGTCATGATGGCGAATTGTTCGTTAATGGTGAATGATGTCTCACAATTAATGGTGAATGATGGGTGGTTAATGACATAGTGATTAGTGGTAAAAACAAGTCTAGTGAGTGCCGGTCTGATATGGTGAATGGAACCATGATATTGTGATAATTAGATAGTAAAAAACCCACAGTGGTTTACTGAGTGGTTTAATGACACACCAGTTATATAACTGGGATAGAACGGAGTTTAATATGGTTTTATATGGTTTTGCACAGTTTTTGTGGGGCATTCTTAGAAACCCACCGTGAAAAACACGATTGGAGAATGGTGAGGGATAAGGGCCCGATGATTCATGGACATCATGGGGGATTTATCCACCAAAAATCACCCAAATGATGTTCCCACCGATGGTTATGTCGCATATTTTTAACATCAAACATATGGGAACTTATCGCAAACACATGGGGATTTACAGACATATTTGAACCGTTGGTTTCTGTTGCTTGAGCCAGTTCTATGGAGGGATTCCGAGTCGCAATCGACTTCTGGGGAGGTTCACCTAGGTTCACGACGGAAACGGGGTTAATGGATTGGTTAGACTGGTGGATACATTGACATGGTTAGACTGGTGAACCAATTCACCATGAAAGATACCTAAGGGGGCCTGAACATTGGAAAGATTGGCTGCTGAGATATAATTCAGAAACCAACAAGAAACTGGCAGTTCTACATAGTTTTTGCCTTTGGGAAACCGCTCCTTTCAATTTTGGGAAGCAGTTTCCACACATTTTTCACCAGGATTCCACCTGGAGTTCACCTGGATTTCACCCAGGAAACGGATCCCGATTGGCGCGTCCGCCTTTTCTCCGCCCGCGCCCTCTCCGCGTCGTCGAACGTCTCCGCGCGGCTGGCGGCCTTGGCCGAGGCCGAGGGCCACGGCGACGTGCGCCGCGTGCTGCTCGGGGCGCCGCCGGGCGATGTGGCCCTTGGGGATGCGCCGACGACGACGGATGGGCCGCTGAGAGTGGTGGCCTTGCACGGGGCGGCGTCCAATTCAGCCATCATGAAGTTTCAGGTGGGTTGAACCAGGGTTGAACCATGGAACCATTCCTAGATTTGATAGGTTTTGGCAACCATCCAATATTTTTTGGAATACATTCCAGAACATATCTGGAATAAAAAACGAATATTTGGAATGTATAGTTGTAAAAAGTGCCCCATACATTGAACCTTATCAACTTCCAACCCTCCTTTTTTTTGGACCAAACATCGGAGGTCCGTTTGCTGAAGAAAACCCTGGAGTCCCGTTGCGACAGCGAGTGGTTCTTCCTGGACTCCCCCGTGGAATGGTCCCCGGTGCCGGGGGCCACCGATCCCATCTTCGGCGACGTCACGGACTTTGAGAAGGCCTTGGCCAAGGGCCAAGCGCTGAGGACGTGGTATTCCCATGGCAATGCATGCTATCATGGAGTGGATGAAGGGGTGGAAAATCTGTGACTTGGAGATGATTTTTGGTCAAACATATCTTTTGGATGATTTTTTTGGGGGGTGAAGTGTCATGAAGCCATTCTGTTATCCCGTTGGTACTCAAAGTTTCAGGGCATTTTTTTTTTGGAAGTGAAGAATGTCTAAAAAAGTGATGCCCCCAACTATTGGAGTGGTTGAAGCGTAGACATCGATCACATTGGGCTGCTGGGTCTAAAACTTTGATCTTTGGCCGCCCTTCCTTTGCCCAAAAGGCCCGTGACGTCAGACCCGGAGTCAACCAGCTGAGTACTTTGCTGCCATGGGTTTACCACTCATATTCCTCCTAGGTTTCTAACCCCATCTTTCTGGGCCAAAAATTAATCCAATTCTGGACACATCAAAATCATCAAAGGTCTGCTGGGTGGAAATCTTTCAACGGGGATTAGAATCCCACTGAGCTTAGGGGTCTCAGTCCACAGCTTAGAGGTTTTCCTTGTCAGAAATCATTCATCTTCGATGTGTTACAAAAAATGTATTACCCTTTCTATCCCTTTCTGCTATTTGGATCTATTATTTGGATGATATTTGGATGATATATATATATAATGTATAATGATATAACTCTTCAACTATGCTTTGTTCTATGGTTTCAGCTCATTTCAGGCTACAGCTGCTGAAGCAGCGCCCCATCGACGTGGTGATCAGCTTCTCACAGGCCTCCAACTTGCTGTCGCTGGCACTGGATGCCCTGAGACGAAAAGGCGACGGTGTCCACAAAAAAAACCGTGGGGAGGATATGGATTTTATGGGTCAAGATACCCTCTGGTTATGTCAAAATAGCTATTGAAAATGATCATTTATAGTTGATTTACCTATTATAAATGGATATTTTCCATAGTTATGTTAGTTTACCAGAGGATACCTATGAATGTACCAAATGACTTTAGGGGGAATGCTATTTTAGGGTGGGTACCAGGGGTTTGATCCATGGATTTTATGGGGGGTTTTTGGAGGTTTTGGACGGGAAAAACTGGTGGGATTTCACGGGGTGAAATACCATGGATTTGACCGGAATTTCCCGGGAAGACATGGATTTTACCGTGAAAAGATGTGATTGCACCACAAATGTGATGCTACCAGGAGGAAGTGTGATTTTAGGTGGAAAAGTGAAAAGTGATTTTACAAGTCACTGACCTAAACTGTGACCTAAATTGGTCGAAGTGGTTGAAGGCCATGAATTTCCCATGAAATTTCCCCTGAATTTCCCATGATCCACCGCCCTTTCGAGGCCTCCCGGCTCCTTGGGGACTCTCCGTGATGTTCAGCGGGGGCCACATCGACGATCCCATCTTCCAGTGGCCGGTGGAGTGGACGTCGCGGCAGCCCACGCTGCGGGTCTTCAATGCCGCGGAGGATGCCTTTTTCCATCAAGGGGAAGGTGCGACCTGGCAGGTGGATGTGTTGGGTGTATAGTATATAGTTATTATGGATGGCTATTCTGGATGGTTATTATAGGATAGATGTGAGTAGTAGCGCCATGTATTCATCTTTTTGATGTCGGAGTTTTGTTGCTTGAATCCATGTTTTCTTGGTGGTTTTGTTTGACGATGGACTTGGGAACATACTGCAAGCGAATGTTTTCTACCAAAAGTGGGGCTCAAAAGTGAACTTTTCCTCCAAATCTGGAAGAGTTAAGAAAGAGATATCAGTATAGACTAATTCTATATTCAATTATTTTTGGGTAAATTCCATAGTGCTTCTTCATTTTTGGTGTACGAGCACCATTGAAGACCAATGATCTTGGGGCCTCTTAACCATAAAGCCATTGAACAACCGTTAAAACAACCGTTAAAACAACACTAAAACATCATTGAAACCCAAGAAAACACCATTGAACACCATTAAACACATCATTTTTCTCCGTTTATTGTCCCCGGAGGATCTCTCCGCGAGATGTACCCGGAGATCCTGGAATTTCCCCACCGCGATGGGCACATGTTTCCGCACAGCGAGCCGCGGGCGTCGGAGATCTACGCGCAGATCGCGGAGGAAATCTGCCAAAGATGCGGAAAAAATGGGAGTTCTGGAGGTGATTTTTGGAGGATTTTCTGGTGATTTTTGGAGGTGAGAGAAATCATCCCATATCAATGGTCATTTCCTTTTCTTCTCCATTTTGATATATAGGAAAAACATGGGAGATGGTAGGGTTTTTTTGGAAGATTTATGGTGATTTCATGGGAGTGGATGGTGTTTTAATGAAAGTGAAATTCGTGGGTAAAAAATGGTGATTTCCATGGGATTCCAACAGAAATCAACCATTCGAGTTGATGAATGTTGATTTATGCTGATGTCACGCTGATTTCATGTCGGGCATGGTCTTCTAGCCTCCTATGGACTTCTCAAGTGGTTTTGATCGGCCCAAGGCTTGAAGAGTGACCAACTGCGGCAATGGAGAAATGCTGCTGGGGGCTGGATCCGGGTTGCTGTACAGAGGAAACATGCATGGAGCCATTCAGCCATCATGGAGCCATCATGCCTCTGGTCATCTCCGGAGAATTCCCCGATCGTTTCGATATGTTTCGATGATCAAAACCCGCCATGGTTGGGATGGGCTCCCCGCCATGGTTGATTTCCGGAGGGCGATTACTGCTGTCGCGGGGTAGCTCTCCCCAAATTCACCAGGAAAACCATGGGAACACACAATCCGAGGCTTCAATGTTAGAATTGTGGACGAAGAATTGGAAGCAATGGATGGGATTTTCGTAGGACCACTTCTGATTCGGAGCATCATCCCACTGATTTCCCATTGTAGTGCTGAAGTCGCTACCTTGCGGTCGCTCCCTGGATATCCCTTGAAGGACAAACCACTCTTAAGACTCCGTAGATGAACAGTTAATACCCAGGTACGTCGCAAAAATTAAAGTTCTTGGATGTTCTTAGGCACCACTGGAAGATACTGGAAGGATCCCTAAAAAAAGAACTTCAAGCTGATACATGCTGATACCATGCCGATTTTCTGGCACAAGCTGTCTGACTGTCCATGGGCATTGCCCAGACGTAGCCTGTCGGAATTTTAAGCACGGCTTCAGTAAGCAGCACGACAGCGATTTGATCCCGCGATCTCAGCAGAACAACAACAGATCAGTCGAGGATTCCTCAATCGCAACTCGCAATCTGCTACTGATGATACAACGAAAAGCCAAGTGGAACCACTTCTCGCAACCCCACTGTGCTTAATTAAGCATCCAGACGTCGATGCGGCACAGTGGGGGTCCGCAGGCAGGACCGTCCTGGGTGAAATGACAACTTTTGTAGGGAAAATGAGTCAACCCAGGGGTTTTGGGGGGTAGTTTCAGACGCCAGATTGTACAACTCTGTTTTTTTGCAGACTCAACTTGTACACCCAGTTGTTACCCTCCGTAATGTGGTACTGGAACATCATTTATTTGGGACGTCGGACACAATGCTCTACTTTTCTGGATGATGTTGGACCCTGTTTCTGCAAAAAAAAGAAGTGTCTCAAAACTGAAAAGCAACAGCGGAAATTTAAGACCATTCCATCCACTATTAACACAAGTCAACAACAATAACTATATATATAATATTATATAGTTATAGTTATATATATAATATATATAATATATATATATATAATTTTGGTTATTCAATCAGTTGTTTTTGTCACGAACCGGAGTTATATATTATTATACATGGATGTTTCTCAAAATGGAGAAAACACCTCCAATTGTGGCTGCCATTTGAGTTCTGGGGAACATGAGGGCTTCAAACTGGTGGATGACAGCCGGGGGGTTCCAAACCTACGGATGGGAAACTATCGCAAACTCAATGGCCAATAAACCTCAACTTAAAATATCCATGAGTTGGTTTGTGTGAAAAAAACATCAGATACCCAAAAAATCGCCATCATTTTTGGCGAACATCCCATCATTTCCCATCCCGACTTTCGACGCAGGCAATGAGCCTAGGTGATGACCGAAAGGCGCGCGGCGCCGTGGATTTGCGTCACCCATTTTGAGTGGAAACGAACTAATCTTCCAATGCCAGAATGCAAATTGGTCAAGTTCTGTGAATTTTAATGTGAATTTACTGGAGGGATCTGGAGGGTAAGTAGTTTTTTTTTGTTTTTTTTGCCATCTGAGAAGTAAACATAGCCATGGAAATTGATAGGCCCTATAGTAATTTAAAAAATATGTAACATCACCATCATCAATGTAGCTAAATCATCGAGCTATAGCTGGGCCAGTTTCTATATATAGCTATATTAAATTACCATAGGGCAATGAATGCATAGCGATCAATAAAAATGTGAGCATATCATGACTCCAAAATGATGATACACACATATACGGAGGTTTCCTAAAATGGTGGTAACCCCAAATCATCCATCTTAGATTGGGATGTTCCATTATAAACCATCCATTTTGGGGTACCCCCCATTTTAGGAACCCTCCATATGGTTATACGATGGGAAACGGTGGTTTTATATCACTTTCCCATAGGATTTACCCTCTGGTAAACCAGCAGAGCTATGGAAAGTCACCATGCTATTAATGGGTAAATCAACTATTTCTATGGCCATGTTCAATAGCTTTTTGTATGTTTCCCATAGGGTTTAGGGCTTAAAAATCTTCTCTACTCTTAGGTCATGTCCCAAATTCACCCAAAAAAACGTTTTTCTTTGACCCCGAGTTTTCCATCGAAATCGGTGTTTTTTCCCACGCCGAAAAGCAGAGGATTCCACGGTCCCCACAGCGTGGGTTCAGGTCTGACCGGAGGCCAAAGATTGGAAAATTTGGTGCTGGGACGCCTCAGTGCCGGAAATCCCCGAACGAAATGACCGGAGGTTTATAGCTGGGAACATCATATTAATATATATATATATAATATATTATTTATATATACAATATATGAATTATATTATATATATATTGTATATATATAATATTTTCCCATTGCCATGTTGGATTACCAGAGACAGAGAGTCACACCCAAAAAGTTTTTTCAAAGTGAATCTTCACCATTTGAATGGGGATTTACCTTTCTGTTTGTTTGGGGATTACCATGTCTGTCGGGCACTAAAAATCACATAAAATCGCTGTTGTTTGATTTAATTTATATGCCATGCTCAGGTGACATGGGTACATTTCCATCTTGGAGGATCGTTACCAATCCATGGAGCTTTACATACCCTCTGGGGATTGAACATGACTATAGAAAATTACCATTAATGATAAGTAAATCATCACACTAAATGGACCATGGCTTCCAGTTTGCAAACTGCTGGAAGGATGAATTCACCGGAGCCTCTGGAAAAATCACCCTGTTCACTGCCTGTTCACTGTGGTTTCATAAAAATGGCAACATCTCCAATCATACCATATTAATCCATACTTAATCCATACTTAATCCATACTTTTTCCATACTTATTCCATACTTATTCCATATTTTTATCAATGGGAATATCTTCGGATCCTAAAATGGAGCTACTGTACCATATTTTTGGCCATATGAATTGTGGGGATATTTCCTGAAACATAGGCCTGAAAAATAGACCTTATATATGGAATCGGTACCTCCATACCTCCAATCTTTATCGGATCCTGAAGATCTCCCATTGATTTTATTGCATTTATTGCGATTCCATATTAAAACCTAATATTTGTCCATTCTGATTCCATATTTTTTGGATCAAAAGCCGTATCACTCGGACGTTGAGTGTTGAGTCCTGTGGCTTTTGCCCAGGAACGATCTCGCGGAGATTTTCCAGCAGCTGGAGGTGACCAACACGGCATCAATCATAGGTTTATCATCATGGTCTCAGTTATCTTAGTTCTTGTGGGTTATTGTATGTTATTGTATCTTAGTTATCATCATATTCTTGTCATTATCATGATAATCATCATCATTACCATCATATTGTATCTGAGTTATTTTTCATGTTGTAACATTTTCTATGGTGTGGATGTGGGAGATTTAAGCAACAAGAGATGACAAGAGATGGAGGGTATCACACCCTGAGAGGTGGTGTAGCTTTCTGTGATTTCGCCATCAGAAATAGGGCTTTCTCGTGTGAAGAGTGCGGGAATACCATCTGGTTATTTAACATAGCCGTGGAAAATCACAATTTTTAATAGGTAAACCAACTATTTCTATGGGCCATTTTCCATGGCTATGTTAAATAACCAGAGGGTACATCGAAAGAATATTCGATCATGAGGGAGTAGTATCCATCTAAAAGAGATTAGATGCATCATAACATGAGGATATAATGGAATACTATGGAATAGTACGGGATATAGATATACCCTCTGGTAATTTAACATAGCTATTGAAAATGGCCATTTATAGTTGATTTGCCCATTAAACATGGTGATTTTCCATAGTTATGTTAGTTTACCAGAGGGTAGATATATGTTGGGATAAACCAGGATCAATATTTTTTTTTTGCACCCGAAAATCTGATATGGCTTGGTCCGAATCTGAGGGATGGCTTCCAGTTTACCCTATGATAATTTGTTACATAGCTATAGGATTCGTGGTCATTTATAGATGATTTACCGTTCTTAGAATTCATGATTTTTTTGCTAGCAAAGTGTTAAATTACCAGAGAGTATCCCAAAATCCAATGGTTTATGGTTTATATATCATTGGTTTATCCATGTTTATGGATGTTTAGCTATGTTGAATTACCAGAGGCTCTGACAATTCTGAGGTTTTTTTATTTTTGAGATGGAATGGTCTCCATTGGGTACCCTCCGGTGTTATCATTGCGATGGCGGGCCTTGTCATGTTTGATTGCCAAGGGTACCGTATTCTTTTTATGTTTATATACTATCGAATGTTTCTCATCACCCCCAAAATGAAAACAAGAGGTACTGCGGAACGCCGACTACTGAGTTTAGGTCATTACGGATCGGATTGTGATGATTTGGGGCACCGGAAAATAGAGTTTTTACCATCTGGGTTTGGGGTGGAACAGACTTTTTGGGGAATGGACATTCATCGGAAATATATATATATATATTATATTATTTTTTTTTGTTATCATGCCCGCCGCCAGAAATCCCACATACCAGGTACAATGTACAGGTCAAAACCTTGACAGTTTTACTGATCATTCGATCTATGCCAGAAATTCCCATATTGGATCAGCTGCTTCAGCCAGAAATCCACAGAGTCGTCCGTTGGAAACCCACCTGGAACTTCCTATGCCGTCCTTTGCTTTCCTGGAAAATCCGATAGATCAAGAGACTATCTGATAGGCCAACAGGTAACAATCTACTATCCCCAATGAATATCTATGGGGAATATCTATCTATGAAACATGGGGAATATATCTGTGATATCTATGAAAGTTTTTATCAATCGTACTCTGTTTTTTCCCAACCGGTTGATATTCGTCGATTCTCATTAC